TTTTGCGATTTTCCATCATAAAGTAGGCCCAAATGATAAACCTTACGAATTATATTCCCTTTTAACATCTTCCCCTTCGTATCATTGGGTTTAATATGTGTGTTGCGATTACAGGAAAAGCGGCAACAATATCAGAGCGGTAGTCAGAGAGGGAAAGTCATGAAATGGGGGACGGGGGGGGGGGGCAGAACGAACATCGCACCCTTAAGGCGCGTCAACATTAATCGTGCTCGTGTGACTCGCTATGCTCGCGAGTAATGTGGACGATATGATAAGTTACGAGACAAGCAAATTTTAAATTTTAAATTTGAAAACTATAGCCAATAAATTAAAATACGACTACAGCCTATACACACTACGTGTAAATATAAGGATCCTCACCCCCCGAAGCCTGGCGAGCAACTGAAGTAGTGTGGACGAAGATTTACGAGCATAAATAAAAGCCAGACGAGTCTCCCTACGAGCACAAGCCTGGCGAGCACGAACACGAGCACGAGTACGAGTAATGTGGACGCGCTTTAGAAGGTTCCCAGGCTTGGCCCGTTCGTCCTTCTGACAGGCGGAGTGTGAAAATGAGACGTTAGATGGTTAAAAGCATTTGTTCTAGTAAGGGCCGTGATAGTTTGATTTTATGAATTAATATCGACTGTATAATTTGGAAAAATAATATTTGTGGTTCTTACAGCTTAATTTTCATGAATTTTCAACGGAAGGGTTGCATGAGAGGCACTCAGTAGCAACTGGGAACTTGGGAACCGTCCCCGCGTTTGTTTGATATGAAATGTATGTAACATCTGGAAATTCTAAAGTTAAAGCTATCCCTGTAACAAGCCGTGGAGGACCATAGGATTGTGAAACGTCGAGGCTCCCATTTTCTAGAAAATGAACTCACAGAGAGGGGTGAGTTTGTCAGCTTCACCTACAGGCCGCCCTTTACCCTCAATACTCATTTCTGTTAGAGACTGAGTCGAACACAGGGCCATAAGATACACATAAATACATTGTGCGGGGAAAATGTTAACGCAGTTGGTACATATAGCTACCGATATGCTCTAAATATTGAGTCTTATGGAGAAAGAATAATGAATTGTGATAGAGGTAACAGTTGAGTCACATCTCGCACCTAAGCCGTGAACCCAGCTCGACCGTAGAACTTCCAGAGGTAAACTCCTGGAACACGCCGTGAGGCGCCTCATGGCTAGAGACTGCAAAAGTTGCAAGTTGCAAAATTCATCAGCGTTCCGAGCTGTCGTTACTGCAGATCATAGTTGAATGTGGACTAGCAATACGTCTTTCCTTCTCTCACGGTTAGGCTTTGAAGCGTGAAAATGTGGCAGAGGGGATGTAGTGAGAGATATCACATTTTAAAGAGGGGGGGGCATAAAACTTATTGCAAGAGGAACTGGAGCTTAATGAAAAAATTAATCAGGCGGTCACATGTAATTGCGTGGCTCAGTGGACAGCCATGTTACTGAACATGAATGTGGGCTGGCCAGTCTAGCCAGGCACCCCCCACCACCTCCAGTTTTCTTTTGCGAGGAAAACTCAAAATTTACATAGGACATATTTCAAATCAGAATTTAAAGTATTTTTCAATGTGGCCCCCATACAGAGACCCAAAACTTTGTGGGCAGTACGTAAAAATATTCTCAAGAGGCTTAAATATAAGTTTGTAATCAGCATTTTCTGGTCGAATATATTTTCCCTGTTGATAGAAATTCCCCGAGGCGTCCATCTTGGAATTAATTGTTCAGCAATTCTTTCGACATCATTTATTGTCGCAAGGAGCAACGCCATGATGATAATGATGATAACTATGAGAAACTATACACACATTGACTAAGGCAAATTCTTATTCTTGTAGAGCGGTAAGAAAAATACATTAATTTTCATTGAAATTATCATTTATCCCGAACTAAAAGCCGGAATATCTCAGTCGGTATAGCGGCGGGCTGGACGACCTGCGTTCGACCGAGGGCAGGGCAAGATTTTTCTCTTCTCCACAACGTCCAAACCGGTTTTGAGGCCCACCCAGCCTCATATCCTTTGTGTACAGCAGGGTATTTCCCCGGGGGTAAAGCGGCCGTGGAGTGAATCTGACCACTCAGTTCCCTCTAGTGCGAGCTCAAGAATGGTGGACCTATAACTCCACTGCCCTACACACCCCAATGACATGGTGCTTAATTAATTAAGTGCAGGGACAAATTTACCGTATGTCGAACTTACTTGCATAAATTTGCTTTGAAAATGCACTCTTTTCTGCGATATGGCGAAGTTCAGCTCAGTAGAAGTCCACGACGTTTCGGAGAAATATATCGCTTCCATTTTGAGAGTCGACAAATAATCGAGTAAGAAATTAGCAGGATGATAATCAGAGGGCTCTTCTACCTTTGAGATCGAGACAGTTGGCTTCTCCAAAACTTCACTTTGCAGTTCTACCAGACTACACGGCGTTACGTACAGGAAATCTGCACTCTTCGTAGCTTACACATGTCGCACTATTGTATTGCCTTCTATTTGGCTTATAATCATGAGTGAGAGGTAATTCTGTTGATCTTGGTGTCTGTATATTTGCCGATTGTTGTATACACTTTGTGTTGCAACAATAGCAGATCAGTTCGGATGGGATTGTCTCCTTGCAAACAGGGCGCTCTGAGTTCGGGCGAGTGGGACCACAACTTGGACACATGCGCTTAAAGGCAAGTTTTTGTGTACCATCTGGCGGCTCTATTGTAATTTGTTGTTTGCAGTGTGGCTCTGTGTCAGGAGAGGTGTCACGTGATGAGTACAGTTTGGCCAGAGTTACAGAATAACCCCCCAAAGCAACTGCAAATATTGCATACAACAGGGTCATGCATTGCGGGCTAGAAAGGCAACATTGCTTGTCCCTCTTTGTTGTCTAAATGTCTACATAACATTTTGTAGCTCATATGCAGTGAAAATTTACGAAAATCTTTAGTCTGCCTTCATCAGTTCCGTTTTTCCACGTGTAACAAATCGCAAAAAAAAAAAAAAAATCGGAATGGCATTTTATTTAATTTTATAGGCGACCAGCCTAATTAAAAGTAAGATGAAGAACAAGAATATATTGTGGAATTTTACAAAGTTTTATTGATAAATTTATATTTTGGATAATTCCTTCCGTTGCGTGTTTTATGACACTGTCAGTCGGTTGTGCATATAGCGGCACATATTGGGATGACAGAGGACTGGGAAAGGGCTGGGCACGTGATACTCAAGGCGTCTTGCTAGAATTTGCCCGAAAGGACTGAGGAAGATCGAGGAAAACCTTCAGTCAGGATAATATATGTCCCGGCCGAAATGCGAACCTAGCAGTCCATGAAAACGAGTCTAGATATTTACCGGGACGCCATTTTGTTCGGGACCTGGGTGCAATGAATAAGGTAAACTCGTGCAGAACTCAGACTTCATGTCTCTATTTGTAACCCTCCGGTTAATAAAATCGTCCCATCCAATGATTACCGTGAGATATTTCCCCGGGGATAAAGCGGCGGGGGCCTGAACCTAACCGCTCACCTCCATCTAGTATTAAGTTTAGTAGAGCTATATCCCCCTCCCCCACCCGTGAGTTTTCATGGCGCAGAATTTCATTAAGCCCAGCGACAAGATTACCGCACACAACCGGTGTGGTGCTCTAACCACGGTACCATTGGGAGCAGATACCTCATTTGTTTCTGGCATGTGACACCGCACTTTCTTGTAGAAATTGAGATATAGTATTTGTAGAGTGTACAGCCTTTCCTATGCAACTAACGCGAGATACGCGATCATACCAGAGTCGTTTCTACGCAACGGTTCGGTGAACACGTCCCGCAGCAACGGATACCCATGCAACAATAGAAGTACTGTTGCAAACGACAAAAATGGAACACAGTGCCTGGGGGTATAACTGAGTCACCCTGTTCCTGGTGGATAGAAATACGGGAACCTGGCCCACCAGGTTGGGAATCTCGAATCCGAGACAGTAGAATGTGGTCATGAGTCCCGTGGGACTCAGACCTCTGAATGACTTCGTTGGCGAGGACCAGCAGCAATTGTAAACGACAGACCCATCCTCTAGTCAGAGAGTATATTACATAAGGACTATAATCACAAGTGCTCAGCTGGAAGAAAATTACTGGTCGTGAGTCTCAAGGGGCTTGTCGCAAAGGGGAACTGATTGAGTGTAAAGTAACTCTGACGCTGAGCTTTGAAGAATAGTTCAGTTGGAAGAGAGTTGCCGGGCAGAGAGGACTTAAGACCGGAAGCAGAGTACTAGTCATTGTTAGAAGCCGTTACCAGGCAACTACTAGTGAAGTCACTGCAGTCTGCAAAAGACTTGGCGTGATGTTGTAAAGTATGGAAATAGCGATAGTGTTATAGTTATCTGTAGTTACGACCTGTAAGTGGTTAATAAATCGAGCCACCAATCTAAACTCCATCTATAGTCGCTCATACACGTGACAATATTATCTCCGTTTTTCGGGTTTGAGAGTAAGCCAGCAAGATACAACCGTAAATCTCTTTGGTTCGAATCTCGACCAAACCATCAGCAATTCTGACCGAGGCATTCCTTTGTTTTCCTCAGTCTCTCTAGACAAATACCGTGACAGTACCTCAGTTAAGTCACTAGCTCGTCCTTCCAGATGCGTTTCAGTTCAGCATTCATGTGCAGAGGGAAAGGAAGTAGCATGCATTCCTGCTTGAATCTTGTATGTATTTTGGTCTCTTTCATAGCTTAATGTACCATGAAGATGGGCGCAGTATTCTCCTTCGAAATGTCCGTAGACTTCTACCATGTTACACGGTATCACATCCCAGACAACAGTCTCTTTCAGGCATATGTCGGTTTCACGCAAGCCGGAAGGATGCAGTCATAAGCTGATGGTAGCAATTAACGCGAACAGATCCTTGCGGTATGGAAGCTGGTTGTTTAATTAATTGTCTGGCGAAACAGATGTGGTGTGTTTTCTAATAGGTGTCCTGTGTTTTTATTGCAGGTGTCCTCTGATGTGGCCTAACAGCCTTACAGCTGGGTAAGTGTTTACATCCTGTCAAGTCTTACTGCGTTCATATGGAATAGTTCACCTTCCTTATGAGAGGTCGTAACTGGACGTTTCGGAATGCCAAACCGCTGTTGTCTACACGCGCACTGTTACAATTCGGGAAATATGTTACACCTAAATAAACTGAAAACACATACTTCATCAGAATAATATGAGTAGTCTGCTGAAAGTCAACCGACGTTTCAGAGGAAAATATCTTGCTCAGATTATTCGATCCTAAAGATGAAGACGATAAGTTCGTCCGAAATACACGGTGTTATACCCCAGAAGATATTACTCTTCATAACCACCGGTGTCAGAACCTAAAGTCCGGCTCACTTCAACTATTCATCCTAAATTGACAGAATGTTCACATTAGTTACCATACAGTGTTTTTCCAGGGGCATGCAGTAATATAGTTGGCTGAGGCACTATGCTACAAGCTAGAGGATCGCGGGTTCGAATCCTGATGAGGTCACTGGATTTTTTAACTGACCTAATCCTTCCAGCAGCACTATGGCCCAGGGGTCAACTCAGCCTCTAACAGAAATGAGTACCAGGAATCTTGCTGGGGGGGTTAAGGGCGGCCGGAACGTAAGGCTGACAACCTCACCGCCATCTGTGAGCAGACACTCTAGAGAAAGTGTGGGAGCCTCGACGTCTCAGAAACCTATGGGCCTCCACGGCCTGCTTTAATAATCTTTTACCTTAATACAATGTGAACCTGTTGAGAACTGGGTCTGTGTTTCAATAACGTAGCGAAAAGAAAGTAGGACAGTTCCACAACAAACTTCGTAGCAACTGCCCCACCTGATCATGACGTCATATGAAGGCATGCAGAGGCTTTCAATAATAATAACAATAATATATTTTTGACGTTGAATCAGTGGTTATTAAAATTTAATAACCATTTTTTTCTGTAAAATTAGACTTCGATATAGTGATGGGCTACGGGCTGGACGGCCGTGGTTCGATTCCCGGCAAGGGCAAGAAATGTTTCTCTACTCCACAGCGTCGAGACCGGCTATGGGGTCCACCCAACCTCACATCCAATGGCCACAATGGGCTCTTTCCTTGGGGGGGGGTAAAGCGGCCGGGAAGTAAAGCTGACCACTCACCTCAAACTAGTACCGAGGTCAAGAAGATGTGGAGCTATACATCCACTCCCCCATATGCCTTCGTGGCGTAGTGGTCAATTAGTTAACCACAGGGACAGCTTTACCTTGCGTTAAAATATTAGAAGCAGAAACTCTTATAAAGAGATTTACGTCAGAGCAGAGCGTGTGTCAGTTTGTTTCCTTTTCCGTTCCCACTCCTTTCCATCTGTGCGGAAGCGATTTGGGATGAGAAGCCAAGCCGAGATTTTGTAATGCGGATCGAATTTTCGCAAAGCGAGGTCTCTCTGAATTGCTATTCCAAAATTGTGTCCATTTGCCAACAAAACGCCGACTTCTTGGGTGCTGTGTTTGACCTTGGCTTTCTGGAATACGCCGAATAAATTTTGAAAGTTCTCCAGCATTTCGACAAAAAAATTAGTTGCCTTCTTCATAGTTAATTTTTTGTTGCCTTGTTGGAAGCCCTTAAATAGATCTCGCTGTGAGATATGAGTTTGAGGTGTAACCTCCAATTCGTTAAAATCATTCAAAATTAATTAATCCTGAAGATGGCGATTGAAATATTTGCCGAAAAGTTAGAAAACACTGAACTTTATATGAGATGTATTCCTGAGTAATACCTGTACGTTCAGTATTAGCTAGCGGTAGCTTACCTCTTCCAGTGGAAACTGCTCCAGTCAGCCTGCTAGCAACCGCGTAATGATGAAAGGAGCAAGTTGACTGACTAACTAACTCCATGCGACTGAGTCCTTGTTAAGAAGCTTCCAGTTGTACGGCCACTCAAGAAATTCCCAATATTTTATAGAACGGAGAACTTCATTGCCGTGTTCATAAGAGCACAAACTTGTCCTTGTCCTAAGCCAGATAAAACCAATCCATACCACTTTATGCTATGCCTCTAAGATCCATTTTAATATTATCCCCCACCCACATCTAGGTCTTATTAGTGATCTCTTTCCTTCTGGCTCTGTCACCAGAACCCTGTATGTATTCTCATTCTACATTCCCTTCCCATCTTTCCTTCTTTCTTGACTTTATCATTCCAGTTATATTCGGTGAAGAGTTGAAGCTCCTCATTGTGTAGGGAAAGAGGGGACTCAAGCCACGGAGTTTTTCTTTTTTGTGAGTCCCCTCAGTCAGATGTGTCAGGTGCAGTGGCATACTAACTGCTGTGCTAGCCAGGCACTTCCCTGGAGAGACTGAGGAAAACTACTAAGAGCTTGAGTCGTACTATCCACGGTTCCAGCCAAAATTCAAACGGAATTCCACACGGATGTAAGTTTCATGAGCCGTATTCAGCAATTGTCCCGTTCGAATCTCGCCCGGTCACTTCCGTCTCCTTCCAAATCCTCTACAATTCATCCTGACATCACGATATGTAGAGTGCAGCTACTGACATCGTCGTTAAATAATCCACGGTCATTGATATGGATTTCGAGGTTGATGAGTTTGTGACTATGAAGGAGTATTCTTCTCGGGTCTGAGTCGTATGGACCGGTATAAATTTTTACTGACGTTTCGGAGGGACGTACCGCGCTCATGGCGCGAATCGCTGATTTTTTCTTTGCTGATGCTTGGTCTTATATTCAACCTTTGAAGACTGCAATAACATGTGTCTCCGAAATGTCGATAAACTTGTAACAGATTATACGGCGTCACACAAAAGCACCCTGTTTCACGTTTCTGTACGAGAAGTGGAGTTATTGCGTTGAAGTAGAGTTGCTGAGACTTTGGACTCTGCCCTTCGTAAGAACATTAGAGAACACAAAGTTTCGGAAGGTGGATCTGTTTCCATGTTCAGGTGAGATGGGAGACATTCTGCTGGGTCCTGTAGAAAGAGCTAACCTCAATATCGGAACATCTGAGTGTTCCTTTGTATGTTAATGAATGGAGCACTTGTGGCTGATAGTGGATCCCATGATTTAAGTTCTGGCGTTGGTCACGTGCACAGGTGTGTCATCAGCTTCCATGCAGACCTCTTNGCCCCCCCCCCGCGCCACGAACAGAAGCGGCCCTCCCATCAGGAAATGAAAGTACAGACATTGCAAACCACGCAAGACGAGCAAAAACGACATAAAAGAATTCTAGAAATTTCTTGTATCTGAATTCAATTAGCTCTATGGGAAGCAAATGCTTCCCTCAATTACTCAAGATATTCCCAGCATTTCCTGTAACTCACAAGGCCAGCTCTGTGTTCACAAGATCACGCCACTAGCCCGTACCCACAGCCAGATAAATTCACTCCAAGCAGCCCTATACTATTCCGTTACTATCCATTTTAATATTATCATTTTATCTCCAATGGTGGGATAGGCTAAGACCACGATTACCAAGAAATAGATGTTACGTTCCCCCACAGGGGCACGAGTTATTTTATCTCTGCTGTTCTCAGACAAGCTCTGGGGCCCACCAAGCTTCCTACAGTTGAAGAAAGCAGTCTTCTGGGATTTGGCACCGTGTATATGTGGTGTTAACCGANTATACTTTTTCTTCTACCCTGAAGATGGGGGCGATACGTTCCTCCGAAACGTCGGTTAACACCACATATACACGGTGCCAAATCCCAGAAGACTGCTTTCTTCATAGTCACCGCCGTGAAAGCCTCAAATCTTACATTCCTACACAGTTGTTACCCGGAACTCTTTCTCTGGGATAAAGCAGCCGGTGCCTGAATATGACCACATCAAGCGTGGAAATTCGTAACTGAATTCCCCAATCCACTTTTATTTCGTTAAACACAAGTATAGATTTGGCTTTACTATCTTTCCATCTACGCCTGGGTCTTCTTAGTGGTCTCTTTACTTCAGTCTCTCGTACAAAAACTACGCACTTCTCCTTTCTCCCATGCGTGCTAAATCCTCCCTCATTTGATTATTCTAACAATATTTGGCTAAGGGGATAATTTATGAACTTCCTCATTATGCAATTCTCTCCACCCCCTGTCACTTCCTCCCTCTTGCTTGAGAACCCTGCTCTCAAAAACCCTTAACGTATGTTATTCCCTTAATGAGAAACCTAGTTTCACACTCGTGTAAAACTCTTTCTTAAATCTTTACGATTTTGTGAGGTAAAATTGTAAACTTAAAGTTCTCATTGCAACAGGCCGTGGAGGCCCATAGATTAGTGAGACGTTGAGGTACCCACATTTTCTAGACAAACGGCTCACAGATAATGGCAAGGTTGTCAGCTTTACTCGCCGGCCGTCATTTGCCCTCAGGAAGATTCCCGGTACTAATTTCTGTTAGAGGCTGTGTCGGTCCCGGGACTACAGAGGGTCTGGAAGGATTAGGTGAATTGAAAAATCCAATGAACACATCGGGACTTGAACCCGCGACCTTCCGGCTTGATGCATAATGACTCAAACAAATACGCTACCGCGTGCCCCATTAACTGGCGTTTCATTTTTCATACCTAGCTCAAGCTGATATAATACTAAGAGGCCGCTGGTGTGATATCATTGTTATGAATGTTCACGCCCCAACAGAAGATAAAATTGATGACATGAAAGATAGATTCTATGAAGAACGAGAACATGTATTTGATAAATTCCACGAAGTACCCTACCAAAATTTTGTTAGGAGATTTCAATGCCCAAGTAGGCAGGGAACACATTTTCAAATCAACAACTGAGAATAAGAATTTGCATGAAATTAGTAATGATAATGGAGTTAGGGTAGTAAACTTTGCCACATCGAAAATTCTTATTGTCAAAAGTACCATGTTCCCACATCGTAACATCCATAAATTTACTTGGACATTCCTGATGGGAAGATACACAATCAAATAGACAATATTTTGAAAGATAGGAGACGGCACTCAAGTATACTTGATGTCCGATCATTCAGGGCAACAGATTGTGATACTGACCACTACTTG